GCTGCCCCTAGCTTTTTTCCAACCTACTTCTCTACCACTGAACATCGCACATCGAGGCGGTCGGTGGTTGGACATACGTAACACATGTCCCAGCCATCTCAATCGATGTAGTAAAACTTCAATTGATTTGCCATCCTTACCTAGTACCCGTTTCCTAACAACTGCATTAATTACTCGATGGTCCCAGGATATACGAGCAATGTTTCGAAGACACCTATGATCAAATACTAGTAACCTACGAATATCCTCTACTCTTACCGGCCATGTTTCACTGCCATAAAGTAGGACGGAACGAACTGCTGCGCAGTAAACCCGTCCTTTGGTTGATAGATGGATATCTCGCCTACGCCATAAATGACGCAAGTTGGCAAAAGCTACTCGAGCCTTCTATATCCGTGCTGAGATTTCGTCACATACCAGACCACAAGGGCTGATGAAACTTCCAAGATAAGTGAAGCAATCGACACGCTCAATTACTTCACTCCCTATCATTCAAAAAAGTCTGATGCTCTACCGACTGAGCTAACCGGGTGTCGATGCCACCCAATCCTGAAGCAACATTTTGCATTTCGGGGGGAAGATCGCATCCCGAACATGCTTGCATTGTTGCTTAGAGTGGTCAGAAGACTCTGCATTTTGTCAGCGTCTTCACCAAATAAAACTATGTCATCGGCATATTCTAAGTCAACAAGTGAACCTCCCGGTAGAAGTTCAACCCCTGAAAATTTAGATGAGGAGAGTGTTATCTCTAAAAGTACGTCGACAAAGTTGAACAAGAATGGGGAGAGTGGACAGCCCTGACGAACACCACTTGAGGTAATCAATTCTGATGACAGTTCGCCATAAGCTCTCACTCGACCAGTTGTGTTCGAGTAGAGAGCCTTTATAAGGTTAATGTACTTCTTTGGTACTCCTTTCAGTGACAAACACTGCCATAGAACCTCACGATCAACAGAGTCGAATGCCGCCTTAAGGTCGAGAAATACTACCATTGTGGGGCGTCTGAATGTGTGTCTGTGTTCTAGAACCTGACGTAGTGTGAATATCTGATCTATACAACCACGTCCAGGTCGAAAACCGGCCTGGTTTTCTCTAATCTGCTCTTCACGAGCTTTGATTAGGCGTCGAAGTATTATTGAAGCTAATATTTTAGACACTATATTAGTCAAACTGATTCCTCTGTGATTGTCACAAGAGGACTTTTGTCCTTTCTTATAGACTGGCACAATCAGTGATTGAGACCAGTCAGATGGGATTACGTCCAGTTCCCAAATTCTACCTAAGACCTCGGTTAATCTCATTGCTAATACTGGACCACCATCCTTAAAAATCTCAGGAGTAAACCTGTCAGGGCCTGCTGCTCTCCCTCGTTTCAGATTTCCTATGGCTTTTTCAACTTCGTAAAGGGACGGAGGACCTACATTAACTTGCCATTCAGGTTGACTAGAGATCGTGGGAAACCGAAGTGTGGCTGAAGGCCAGTTGAACTGATCCCTAAAGTGTTCTGCCCATCGATCCAATCTCCTGGATTGAGAATGAATAATATGTCCATCTTTCTCTGAGATTGTTTCGCTAACGGTCGGGTTCCTAATTCCGGTTTCCTTAACGAGTCTGAACAATTGTCTGCTATTACCTATTGCCGCTGCCTTTTCCATCTCTCTTGCTTTCGCTACCCACCACTGTTCGCGATCATTGCGTAGACTTCTTGTCAGCTTGCGCTTAAGCTGACTCCGCTCTTCATTATGTTCAGAGCCAGGTGGAATGAGTTTCCGAGCATCTATCAGTGCGATAGATGCTGCTGAGATCCAGTGTTGCTCCCTAACCTTCTGGTTTACCTTACTAGCAGATATCACTGCTGTTTCCACAGCTTTTCGGATATCATTCCATGCTGCATCGGGGTGGGCATCACATACATGGCTGCCTAACTGTTTTCCTAGTTGTTCCTGAAATATACTCTTAGCTTGACTATCATTAAGTAGGCCCTAAGAGGTTTCCTTGCAGCGTCTTTCCTACGTCCAGTAAGACGCAAGCAAATACGCGCTCGCACTAGAGCATGATCTGAATCTAGGCATGTGCTCCAGAATGAGCGACAGTCTTCTATCGAGCCCCTCCATCGGTGGCTGATAGCGATGTGATCTATTTGGGTCCAACGTTGGGACGAATTAGGGGGTCGCCATGTTAAAAGATGTTTTTCCTTATGCTTAAAGTTAGTATTTGCAAGGAACAGGCGGTTATCTGAGCATAGCTGCAACAGACGGTCGCCATTATCTGTTCTTTGAGCCACGACCCATAAGATCCACCTAGGTGTCTTTCCCTATCGCTTAGTTTACCTACTTGAGCATTAAAGTCACCGGCCACTATTACTACATCCGAGCGCTAGCTTTTCGGAGAAGGTCCGAAAGCTTTCTGTAAAACTCATCTTTTACATCATCTGAGCTGCAGTCAGTGGGAGAATAGGCAGAGACGACGAAGAGGCAACGACGAGTGTCCCTATCTTTCCGGATTCTTACTGTTCCGTTCAGTCGGACAGCGCACAAACGACTGTCTACTGGGATCCACTCTAAGAGAGCTAGTTCTGCCCTAGGACTCAATGCTATACCTACGCCGGCGAGGCCACGGGAAGCAGAATCAGGGCTTCCAGATACACGAAGCGTGAATCGAGTCGGTTCTTTATTTTGGCATGGTGAGGTCAAATGAATGACGCTACTCGGATCCTGTATGCGCGTTTCGGAGACGCTGTTATGAATACAGTGGTCTTGGGTGCTGTTAGGGTTATGAGGGCGGCTATCCTTGTGGGAAGGCAGCATCGCTGTCATGCTGGTTGTCTGAAGGAAACACCTTACTGCTGTCACACCTCTGTACAGTCAGCAGTACGACTTCGCCTTCGGACCTTAGGTTTGTTGCTTTTAGTCTTACCGCTCTTCAACCGACCTGTCTGACATGGTAGGACCTTGAGGAACAGTTGTTCCAGCCAGTATAGCTCGGTTGCTTCATCACGATAAGCAAGCCCGACCACCACGTCAAGGTAGCAACAACGGTCGGGTTTCGGAGACGCAGCACACATCGATGGCGCGAGATTCTAAAGTCCTAGCTAAGGAAGCTTGTTGTCCTATTTGGCACAGTGTTCGGACGTTAAAAGCTCCTACGTGTAGTTTAGAGCGTGGTTTCAGTAGACCAGGGATAGCGTTCCGTGTACTCGAATCGTTCGCCCTAGCGTTGGGAGGTGATAAAAGGACGTGAGAAGAGTTAGTCGGGGAGATAAGAGTGGTATTAGGAGGTGTAGGAAGGATTTGAGTGTGACCAACTTGATCTCGTGTGCTATTACGGGTATGAGGGCTGATGTCACTTCCCGGTTGCCCACATCGTGGAAGGGTATTTCTTGAGGAACCTAAAAGGGAAGTTGGATTAATGTTGGCCTGCGTGACTGCAGAGCCCAAGGGACAACTGAGGCCGGTCGCGCACGGCCTATTCGTGAGAGGTTTTTAACGTGTTAGCTCCGTTCTTCAAAGGGCCTTACCGCCGGAGACGGAAATCCGTGAGGTAAGGTGAGGTGTGGCATTTTTAGGGTCGACCTTTTCTAACCCCACCCCTCCTTGTGGGAAGGCAGCATCGCTGCAGATGCTGGTTGTCCGAGGGAAACACCTTACTGCTGTCACACCCCTCTACAGTCATCAGTATGACTTCGCCCTCAGACCTTGAGTTGCTGCTTTTAGTCTTAACGTTCCTCAATCGACCTGCCTGGTATGGTAGAACCTACAGGAACATATGTTCCAGCCAATATAACTCGGTTTGGTTATCACAATAGGAAAGCCCGATCACCGCGTCAAGGTAGCAGCTACGGTCGGGCAAAGCGAATAGATTTATTAACTATGGTGAAACCCATATTCAAACTGGGTCACGTACGGAGATGAACCGTAATCAATGTTCTGCGTTTACTGTTACTGGTATTCCTATCCCTCTCCGTGTTTATATGACGGGGAAAATTGCACATGCGCCAGGTCCTACCTTGTTTACTACTAAGTGATGAAAAAACTGGTCTAGTTACTACTTGCTACTTGAGAATTTTAACTAGTATCCTATTTTAGGGTAAACGCAAACGACTGTTTTTCACGCAGGTAACAGGCTATGAGATATGCCAACTGAATTACTGATTGATTATTAAGGATGTGCGTTAAATAAAGAAAATCGTCTTGGGACTTGGATTTACACTATTGTTTACTTGAGTTATCTGCATATGTCCACTCTTCGACTGGACATATCTTAAATTAGTCACGGACGTAGGATGTCTTACCCTGTTGTTATTTTTACTGTCCTTAGATTGACTCCCTCATAATATTTGAGATTTTGAGAAACTCGATGACATTAGGACTCTATAAACTGTATTGCATTCTATCGAATGCAACACGAGCACTAGAGAAAGTGGTATGATAAGAAAGAATATAAGATATCCCTACATCATAGGGAAGTAGACAATCGAAAAAGAAATCACTGACATCAACCACCTCGGGATTACATTTGTAGTAGATAATTAGATATAAAGTAACAAGAGCTTTCGAAGTATATTAATGTGATTGATTGTTGGTGATTGACTAACGTATTCCCGAAGTAGCCCACTGCATTAATGTAAAACGGATAGTTTTATTGAAGTCTGTCTAGCTATGTATTCCACCTAACTATCATATCAGGATACACTCTACAGTTTCTTTAGCCATACAAAGTGTATTCTCAGCTTATATTACCAAGATGTTTTGATGCCACGTTCGATCGTTTTTATCTATTATCTATAACCACCGTATTGAACATGAACGCACTTCGCATTTATGGAAACAATAATATCTCCTCTTATTCCTTCCAGGTTTTTGTGCTGAGTAGCTTCACCATATCAACTTGAATTCCCCCCATCAATTGCTTTCCTACTGACTAGGTGAAAAATAAATAACTGAAAATTGCAATTTCTTAATGGGTGTTACATCCTTTCTGTAGTCTATCTCAAGCAGGCTATGTCAACTCCAATTTCTAGTCTAAACAGTTTATTTTCATTCACATCTCCTGCTGTAAAAAGACTTCTTGGTTGGAAACAAGGAGACGAAGAGGAAAAATGGGCTGAAAAAGCGGTTGATTCACTTGTAAAAAAACTTAAAAAGAAAAAGGGTGCACTTGAAGCTCTAGAGCGAGCTTTGAGTAATCCCGGTGAACCTTCAGAATGTGTTACTATTCCCCGATCCCTCGATGGTCGACTTCAAGTTTCTCATAGGAAAGGGTTACCTCATGTAATCTACTGTCGAGTGTGGAGGTGGCCAGACTTACAAAGCCATCATGAGTTGAAACCCCTTGATTTCTGTCGTTTTTCCATTCTCAGCTAAAGAAAATGAGGTTTGTATTAACCCTTATCATTATCAGCGAGTTGAAAGTCCAGGTAAGTGTAATTATTATTGTAATAATTATAGTTTCGTCTTAATATTGCACTACTATGTTCACTTTGGCTAACACACTTAAAGTAAAGATAAACCATGTAGTTAATGGATTTCTATCCTTAACAAAATCATACCATAAATTACCTAATCAGACATTGAGGTTGATAATGAATCATGAAGTACATAAGTAGGTTGTTAGTATCTTAGCTATTAACATACTTTTTTCTGTTGATGGCGTAATAACCCGTAAATTTTTAGTAGCTTTCCACAGCTTTCGAAGATACTTCTTCTCATCTCGTCTCATATTTTTCTCCAAATACTTACTTACTTACTTACGCCTGTTGCTCCCAATGGAGCATAGGCCGCCGACCAGCATTCTCCAACCCACTCTGTCCTGGGCCTTCTTTTCTAGTTCTATTCAATTCTTGTTCATTTTTCTCATGTCTATTTCCTTTTCCCGGCTTAATGTGTTTCTTTGGTCTTCCTCTTTTCCTTTGGCCTTAAGGATTCCATGTGAGGGCTTGTCTTGTGACGCAGTTGGGTGCTTTCCTCGATGTGTGTCCTATCCACTTCCAGCGCTGGGATCTGGTTTGTTCTCTCCAACAGTACGTTGTTGCTAATAGGATGAAAGCCGAATTCCTTTTCTCCAAATAATTTGTATGATTTCACACAAAATAGCAGACGCCTTCCAGTTCCCCTATTTTCTAGGGCCTGTATATTTAATTAAGATCCAATAATACGAAAATCGAACTGACTAATCAATCGCTTTAATTCCCATTACCATATGTACAGTTTCCAGTAACACTAACTAATATTTGTTATTTTAGTTTTGCCTCCAGTCCTTGTTCCTCGGCATAGTGAATACCCTAGTCTTAGCACTGTAACTCCATCACCGGGTTTATCACACTGTGGAAGCAGTGGAATATCTAGTTCCCGTTCAGCATCTAATCTGGGAATGTTCCCGATGACAGACTCAGCAATGCCTTACAATGTAAATTATCCACACAACTTCAGTCATTCTCCGTCTCTTCCTCCCGGAAATAGTGGAACTTCTACAGACAGTGCAGTTGCTGGACCTATCCATTCACTTAATAGTAAGTATAGTTGTATTTTTGTTCTTCTATATCAGTTTATTATTTATAAATTTACCAACAAATTTTCATGCTTTTTTTGCCGATCGCTTTATGTATTGAAAAACAACTTTAGTTGGTTTTTACGTACCATTCAAACTATTTTGTTTTCATTTCCTAACCTCGCAGTTTTACCGTTCTTAAATCATGGGTTGGGCTTTGATATCAGTCTAAGTGTTTAGTGCAGTGGTTTCTTTGAATGATCTATAAAGTTTCGTACCTTTAGAACCGAACTTTCGTGAATGTATCTGACATATTTTTTCAGATATCATCAGTAACAAAAGTTTGAAATATCGTTTAGTTGGAATATTTCTCGACAAGTTGAAAGCGCTACTCCGTTTTAAAGATATTCATGTTACAGAACGTCTAATACTGCATATCCTGAAACTGTACGCATTCGATTGCTTAAAAACATATTCTTGTATATAGTTTTTCTGAGACAACCTAGTTCTAACAATAAATCACATATTATATTACACTGTTTTTGGCGCATTGTAAGCCAAGGATGCATGTACTCGTTTGCGCTTTTGAAGGCTTAAACTAAGAAGAATATTAAATCAATACACTTGGATCCTTTTAATATTAAATTTCGTACTCCAGTTTTTAAAAAAATGCAGTTATTTATTGTGTATACTGTCAAACACCTTTGGTATTAAATAATCGAGTTGGTGGTTTATTTCATCTGTAACATTCAAACAAGTGAAGTTACGTACACTGTAGTTTCTGTAATTATTGATTTAGAAAATATTTTGTGGATTTTATTTATCCAATACTTAGTTTTACCATAGGGAGCGAAGTTGTCAAAGGTATTGGCATTCACTTATCTTTGGAGTCTCATCGACCCAGCGGATTGGTGCTCAAAGAAGTACCAGCATGTATACAATAAGTTGATTTCGATTTTCGCCAAAGTGAACCACCTCTGAAGTAGGTAAGGCGCTCATATACATATCGAAGTTATTTTTTTCATCAATGACCGGGGATAGCGAGCAGAAGGCTTCTCTGTACTTCTCTACGGCTATGAAGTGGCTTATGAAAGTAAAGTACTTGTTCATAAGTGTCTTCGTAGTGCGAAATGGTATTTGATCCTATAATCCAATGACTAAAAGTCTACTCTGTCAATCACTTAGCCATAATTTTGCAAAAGACTAGTTGAGAGTGGAATGTTTCCTTATAGAATTGTTTTACAGTAATGATTTAGAAAAATTTTGTAATGAATCAATATAAATTATGGTTAAATTCCACTATGCTTTTAATTATGATAAAACTTCATCTTGGTAATGTTCTTTAAAACAATTGTTATTTACCATCTTTAACAGGTTCGAATCTTCAATCCGGTTACCAAACTCAACCCAATCAAGAACCGGCTACCTCTGGACAAAGTAATTTTTACAAATATTTGTGTTTAAATATTTCAGTGCATTTTAAAAATGTTCAGATATTTATGCAGTCTGTTATAAGAACTATGAGTTGAATTTCAAATTTATTTAAGCATTTAGTAACCCGTCACAACTTTATAATAGTCATTCAAATGCCGCTAAAAAGGATCACTTCGGGAAAGTAGAGAGTAGGAAACTGTTAATTTATTATAACTATTTATCTGAGGACTGGAGCACAGCTTATCTAGTTGTGATAATGAAACTAATGACTTAGTTGCTACAATATTTCACTTTTAGTCAAAGCTACAGGTTCGAACCATCAACTGCATTTTAGGTCTGTCAGTCAGTCACAACGGTTGAAGTTGTCATACCCAATTAGCACAGAGAGATAAAGTTGCTAGGCTAAGTCTCAGAGTAGTAGAGGTAGTAACAGTATCAGTGGTAATAGAACGGGTTGAGCATCGAAGATACAATTCTAAAGAATATAAATTAGTGAAATAATAACCAAAAGTTATTAGGAATCTAGGATCTCAAAGTTTGCGAAAGACAAAAAACGGATGTACGTGCTTCACTCAAAACGATTTCGGACCACTTCATTCAAAGTCTAACCACTGGTTATGGTAATCAACCCGACCCCAACCAGGTATTCTACATCTATTAACATAGCTCAGTTCAACTGTCAATGGCACCATGTTTTTGGGTTGGCCGCTCCTATATTTCTTCCAGCCTACTCTTGCACAAGAAAACATCGCCCATCGAGTTAGGCAGTGGTTGGACATGCATAACACATGTCCCAACCACTTCAGTTGCTCTTGACGAGCTTTGGTTAGACGTCGAAGTATTATTGAAGCTAATATTTTAGACATTATATTAGTTAAACCGATCCCCCTGTGATTGTCACAAGAGAACTTTTGTCCTTTCTTATAGACTGGCACAACCAGTGATTGAGACCAGTCAGATGGGATTACGTCCAGTTCCCAAACTCTACCTAAGACCTCAGTTAGTCTCACTGCTAATACTGAACCACCATCCTTAAAAATCTCAGGAGTAAACCTGTCAGGACCTGCTGCTCTCCCTCGCTTCAAATTTCCTATAGCTTTTCCAACTTCATAAAGAGTCGGAGGACCTACATTAACTCACTATTCAGGTCGACTGGAAATCGTGGGAACTCGAAGTGTGGCTGAAGGCCAGTTGAACAGTCTCCTCAAGTGTTCTCCCTATTGGTCCGATCTTCCGGATTGAGAGTAAATGATACCCTCGTCTTGTTCCAAAATAGTTTCACTAACAGCTGGATTTTTACTACCCATTTCCTTGATAAGTCTGAACAGTTGTCTACTGTCACATATCCCTTCTGTCTTTTCAATCTCGTCTACCGCTAACGATTATAACACAGGTTTTTTATCAATCTACGTTTTAGCTGTGTCCGCTCCTCTTCGTGTTTAGAACAAGAAGGGTTAAGTTTGCGAGTATTTATTAACTCAGTAGACTTTGCTGAAACCCAATGACTTTTCTAAGCCATTTTTACGTTATTGGAAGATGTTGCTGTTGTTTCCACAGCTGTCCGGAAATCATACCAAGCTACCTCGGGGTGGATATCACTTTCATGGTTGAATAGTTCCTTCTCTAGTTGTTTCTGCAATATACTCTTAACATTTTCATCATTAAGTTGAACTCTGAGGGGTTTTCTTGCTTCGGCTTTCATTTGTCCAGTCAGACGCAGACAAATACGTGCTCCAACTAGAGCATGATTTCAATCTAAACGTATTGTCCGGAATGAGTGGCACTCTTCCATTGAGTCTCTTCAATGAGAGATGATGTCAATATGGTCTATTTGAATCTACCGTTGAGTTTGTTGTGAGTGATGCCCGCTTGAAATAAACGAGTATCTGAGCATAGTTGCAACAGATGGCTGCCATTATCTGTTCGCTAAGCTGCGATACCTAAGTGCATTTCTCTTTGGATGGAAATCCGTACGGTTAGTGTGAAGTGTGACTTTTTTTGGATCGACCTTTTATAACCGTTTCCTTCCGTTGTGAGTAGGCAGCATCGCTTCAAGTGCTGGTTTTTTGAGGTAAACATATTACTGCTGTCACACTCCTCTGCAGTCAGAAGCACAAATTTTCCCTCAAGCATTAAGTTACTGCTTTTATTCTCACCCTTCCTCATTTCACGTCGCTTGGTAGTATTAATATCCATAAAACAAAATATGTGACTCATGAGTGATATCATGAACCTGTGCTTGTATTTAAACAAAGTTTATCAGATTCATTCAGATCCATCTTAATGAACGTTTGGTAGCTGTTTCATTTTTTGACAGCTTGTCATGTATGCGTTTCCATAAACACTTTGACTCAATAATCTAAGCTACTAATGCATTCTTTAATTTCATTTAAGAAATAGGGGGATAAGGTATATTATTAGCAAAGATCGGCATAAAAGTGTATTTCAATCCATAGTACTGGTAAATATTTAAAATAGATGCATGTATTTAGTTGATTGCTTGAGTCGGACGTCTCATTTGTACGAAAGCTCATCTAGAGGAAGTCTGAATATATGACATGGTTACTTAGCAAAAGAATCAAAATAATTATAGTATCAGTGATAGTGAGAATATGATGCGAAAAATAGATAAAAAGGTATGTATGAAGGAACACGAACCCGAAATCTAAAAAATGATGAACAGTGTAATCATTTATTTAACTAGCTGGTTCTGAGTTATGTTACTCAATATCTATCACCGGCTGCACTCGTGTGGACTCCAACCAGGTAGTCTTCATGTACCATTAAAACTCAGCTCAACAGTTGGGTATTTCATGGATTGATGCCACGTTTCCGTTTTATCTCTTGGGTTTTTTTTCTAACTGTTATTTCAGCCAGTGCATCATATAAAAAAGCTGTTTTATCAATGTATTTCTAAGCAGCCATCTCATCCAGTAAAATCACAACATAACATCCATTAAATACAAGAACAAATTGGTGATATTCTACAGTATATTATCATTATTTACCAACATTCGTCATTTATAAGCATCGTTGAGTCGCTAAAGGAAACAGTGGATTTTGTGTCAGTAATTTATCAGAAACCTATTTAGAATTGCTCATTAGGAATTTGTAACTTGAGTCTGAAAAATAATTATGTTTACAGACTAATGGAGTAACAGTCGGAAACTTACTGAAACCACATCCTAAAAGGATTTAGAAAGTTCCAACCAGTTCTCATTATATAACTGGCACATCGATTTTATATTTGTTACGTGTTAATGGCAATTACACGGGGATTGGTTATAGTTATCAGCATAGTACATTTTATGTGGAATTTAATGTAGAAACATATCTGATCCTTTTTATTTTGGTCTTCGACAAGAGCAACTCTTCACTTTACGGCAAAAGTATTCAAACTTGAATAGGTTTTATCGTATGAGTCAAAGTCAGTGTTCAGTCAAAACACTGATTTGCTGAACCAAGTGACTGCTTTGCGGAATGATGTATACATTTGTTTTAATGTAGAAATGTTTATATTCGTTCATTGTCAAAACAGTCTTCGTTTCTATCCCATTTTAGCGGAAATTAGACTATAGACAGACCGAACCAATTAGTAATCCAGCTCCCCAATTGCTATCGTATCCAAGATACAAGAACCACTACATTAATCACAAGTGGTATGATTAGTTCATCCCATATCTAGTTCTGTCTATTTATTCACATGTACCTCCTGAACTACGTTCATTAAAAAGACAGGGGAAATGTTGCTCGATTTCGTGAATGTATCATACGGAAACTGTCCATTGCAATACTGATCTCGTTTATAAATCATGTCTAAAGTCACTAAGCTAGAACATATACCTATTTATCGGTTAAAATAATTAAACGTTTCGCTACTAATTGTCTACGTTAACAAATCAAGCTTTAATCTATCTGTGATATATACGTTTTGAATATACTGTGCTGTTAGTATGTTATATGGTTAAATGTGTTGTCTTTTCATTCACGTCCTAGCTATGCATCCAGTCAATTATCAAGAACCGAAATACTGGTGTTCGATTGTTTATTATGAACTAAATAATCGTGTCGGTGAAGCATTTAACGCTTCACAATTAAGCATAATCATTGATGGCTTTACAGACCCATCAAATAATTCAGATCGTTTTTGTCTTGGTCTTTTGTCGAACGTAAACCGAAATTCTACAATCGAGAATACAAGACGTCATATTGGAAAAGGTTATTATTTATTTAGAGTTTCTCTTTTCTATTTATGTTGAAATCTTTATTTATCTAACATTAATGGTATGACATCTGAGTAATTAATGGTTGTTCAACTCCATTATATATTAGCCTTAAAACAGCCAAATAGCCATATTTTGTTTGTTTCTTGTCCACGAATAATCATTTGGCTCGTTCGTCTATAATAACTAACCACTTCATTCATTTATCACCAACCTATCCACTTTCTATGGTGCTTTAAAGTAGCAATTAATGGTTTTTATCTTACTCTAGAGTTGCTCGTTTTCTTCCAAATATAATACGTGAATTTTGCCATAGATTTACTGTTTCTGTAAAATGAAGGCAAACACTTAAATGACTAGGTTCAGTTTCTGCTGATACTACATTATTTGTATTATCATCCGTTCATTTTCTGAAACACGATGTTGAAAACAGGAAGTGATTGTTCATCTTAACTAGGAATTTAATCATATATATATATATATATATATATATATATATATATATATATATATATATATATATATATATATATATATATATATATATATATATATATATATATATATATATATATATATATATATATAGAGTATTTATTTAACAATGCACCTACCTAATGGTGTTTCTTGATCATTATCAACATATATATGGCCCCAGTTTGTTGGAAAATCTCCCATACTGTTACGATTGTTGTTTTTATTTTGACGAAGATAATGTCTTAATATGGAGCCAACCATTCATTATCTTCTGTGTGACAATCAGTAATTTTTTATTCTCTT